ATCGTGGAATTGAAGAAACGCATCAGAGAATAAAAGAAAAATATTTTTGGCCTAACTTGAAAAAATCAATCCAAACATTTATAAATGAATGTGAAATTTGTCAACAATGTAAATATGAGCGTCATCCGATAAAAATTGCGATGAATCTCACCCCCACTGCATCAAAACCTTTTGAAATCGTACATATCGATACTTTCACTTTTGAAGGTTCAAAATTTCTCACAATTATAGACAGTTTTTCTAAATATGCTCAAGCATATCAGATTACTTCGCTTTCAGGAACTGAAATTGCTGATAATCTGATACTATTCTTTTCTCATCATGGAATTCCTACCCGAATTATCGCAGATAATGGCACTGAATTCAAAAATACCGTTGTAACTGAACTTTTGTCACTTCATAAAATTAAGCTTCATTTTATTTCGCCAAATCATCCAGATTCTAATGGAGTTGTTGAACGATTTCATTCAACTATCACCGAACATTTAAGATTGTTGAACACAGAAGGCTTTCAGAAAACCCCTATAAAAATGAAAATGTTGTACGCCGTTTTAGCCTACAACCACACCTTACATTCTGTAACAAAATTAAAGCCTATAGATATAATCAATGGACATATTACGTCGAATGAACCATTCGATATCAAAATCGACCAATTACTCCTCAACGACTATACCAACAGCCACAAAGAGCGTACAAAGCTATTGTATTCAAAAATAAATTCTGATCTCACTCAAAACAAAGATAAAACGCTAGAACGCGTTAACAGAGATTGCGATAGTCCGACTATACTTGATAGCCGAGAAACAGTATACGTCAAAAAGCATGTTAGAAAAAAGCACGCCAACAAATTCTCAATGCCGTGTAGACTACAAAGTGTTAATACGGAGAAAAAGACCGTCGCGACGGACCAGCACGGAAAAGTGCATATAAGTAATTTGAAACGTCCGCTACGCAAACTTTATTCGTTTGACTAAGCCTCGAGCAATTAGATAAGAAACTATGTATGTAATCTACGTTTACTTTACTCTTAATTGCACGCTAAAAATAAGATTTTCTTTCGAATATATTATTTTACAGGTTCCCAGGAATCATAGGAATTAATGGTACGATAACGTTGAAGAATTTAGAAAATAACCTAGGGTTGATACCCATGAAATTAGGGACTGCCAAAATTACAAAAAATTTTCCTCAATACTGTATTTTTACGACGTCAATTTAATAATCACTGAAGTTAAAGACCTTAAGAAAAAAACCGAAAATGTTGCGAATTTATCCAGGAAATATATTGAGCACTATAAACACTCAGCAAATTACCTCAATGTTTTTTATTTCTTAGAAAGAAAAGTAGACGGAAAGCTAAATGACATTTTTCTCTCTACTTACGAAACTGTTCCATCATTCTCTGTTAGAATAAAAAGGGGATTAATAAACGGCTTAGGTTCAATTTTCAAAGCAATCACAGGAAACCTGGATGCTTCAGATGGTGAAAAATTCGAGTCTCTAATAAGCGATTTGCAGAATGATCAAAACAAGTTATCAGAAGCTATCAATAGTCAGAATACCTTATCTGTCGAACTTATCGATAATTTCAATAAAACTGTAAGTCAGATTACTCATAACCAAAAGCTATTAGAAGCTAAAATAGATCAGCTTTCAACAGCTATGATTAACACACAAGCCTACATAGAAAATGGCATTTTCTTGAGAGATACAATCTCAGAGATCATGAATATCTATAATATCATAATTTCAGTACTCCAGGATATAGAAAACTCACTTACTTTTGCAAAATTGGGAATTATGCACCCCAGTGTAATCAAACCAAAACATTTACTTCAAGCACTAAATTCAGTGGCATTAAAACTATCCACAAAGCAACTCCCTTTAGAAGTTACTTTGGATAATATCCCGATTTATGAAAAGCTCATTAAAATCAGCTGTTATACAGTTGATAGAAACATAACATACATTCTTCAAATTCCAATTGTTCATACATTCCAATTTGATTATTATCACTTATATTCAATTCCAACCTTTCATAAGGGTCTGTTCAAAGTAGTCATCCCTTCTGGAAAATATCTTGTAAAGAATGAGTTGTACTTCGCTTTTGCGGGAGACGCATGCACGGAAACGGTCGCAAAACAGTACGTTTGCAAAGAACTAGATTTAAGAAGAATCAAAGAATCCAATCCCTGTGAAGTTCAACTCCTGGTACAAAAAACTCCCACTACCTGCCGAGAAGTAGAAGCCGTAATCACAGAGCCAGTAATGAAGAAACTGCATGATTTCGGACAATGGATCTTGCTTATACCCAATGAAACCACCATTACATTAAGCTGTCAAGAAGGCCAAGAAACAGTCAAAGTTTTGGGATCCTACTTAGCCGAAATTCCAGCCAGTTGTACACTGGAACTAAATCAAGACCTGATCGCCAATCAAGAGCCTATATCGATTGGAAGTCAGCCAATTATTTTTCCAAATATAGATAGCAATACTTCAATTGCTACCAAGCCGAATGACTTCAGCCTTCATCTAGACCAAATAGAATTTGATGAAGTTCACAAAGTAAAAAGAAGATTAATAGAAAATCGTGTTGACATCCATTCACATAAGGTGTCGCACATTCCCAGTTCTTGGACAATCCTGTTGTATGGAGTACTGCTGCTGCTACTTTGCTGTTTTGTCTACAAGAAGATCATTCCGAAGATTTTTACTAAGCCGAAGAAACCACAAAGAACCCCTATTGAAGAAGTTGATCTTTCCAATGTGCAACTTCCTCGTTAACCCTCGAAGTTGCATCTACAAGGGGAGGCGTTATAGTACAGAAGATTTACCCCTACCACTAAAGAAGAGGATCGAGTTTCCCTGGATCAGCGCTTTGCCTCATCCAGTCTTATTTTATTGTATTCAGAGTTAGTTAGTCTGTTGTTAGCGCTCATACTATATACATCAATAGAATTGTATTTTTGATAATCGAGAATAAATCTTTTTAAAAAGCAAGTAGACTGACTCGGTCAGATAATTCGAGTAAATAACGTGCCGGAGTCAGCCAGACTCCACGTCACCGTTAGTGTAACTGTTTGGCTTATCGTGTGTTTGAGTTAGTTTTGTTATAGTTTTTTTTATATATTATTATAATGGCTAATCGACCAAGCACCTCACGAGGTATTTGTGTAACAGATCCAAAGTTCGAGGAGACTGTTTTAAATTGGTATAAAAGTCTGGATTCAGATAACAGTGATATTGACGATACTGATCCGGATTTTGCCATTCAAAGTGATCACAATTCAGCATCCGAGCAATCTGAAAATGAATCCATTGCAGATGATGGAAATCATATTCAAGATATCGAAGAACAGGATTCTTCAAACGATGATGAACAACCAAGATCGGCAAACTATTATTATGGTAAAAATCGTTTCAAGTGGTCGGCAAAGGAACCTACTAAAAATGTTCGCACTCAACAGCACAAAATTATTCTTCATTTACCTGGGCTACGAGGAAAGTCTCGGACTTTCGGTAATTCGGCAAACCCAAAAGAAATATGGAAGTGCATATTTACTAATGACATGGTAGATCTTGTAGTCAAATGAACATAAAGTTAGCGAGTGTCAGGACCAAATATAAAAGAGAAGATCGACCTGAATTACAAAACGTTGACCGGATCGAAATGGAGGCTTTTTTCGGTTTACTCATATATACAGCAGTTTTCAAGCCAAACGACGAAGACATTGAGTGCTTATTCGCTACAGATGGGACAGGCAGAGACATTTTCCGGGCCGTGATGAGCGGGAAGAGATTTGCAGTTCTAATCAATTGTTTGCGTTTTGATGATCCTTCCACTAGAGAGCAACGAAAGGCAGTGAATCTATTAGCACCAGTGCAAGAACTGTTCGAGATGTTCATTCAGAACTGTCAAAATGAGTTTTCTATAGGTGAATATGTATGCGTTGATGAAATGTTAGCTGGTTTTCGCGGTCGATGTCATTTTCGGATGTACATTCCAATCAAACCGCGAAAATATGGTATAAAAATTATGATTCTAACGGATGCGAGGAATAACTATGTTTACAATGCATACGTATACACAGGACTAGATTCTGATGGAGCCGGGCTTTCAGTGGACGAAAAAAAGCTCCTAAACCCACCCAGGCTGTATTACGTCTTTGCAAACCCTTATTTGGTAGTAATCATAACTTGACCGCCGATAACTGGTTTACCTTGGTAGAACTGGTGTAGTTGCTGAAATCTAAATGTATGACTTACGTTGGAACTATGAAAAAGGCTAAAAGACACATTCCTCCAGAATTTCTTCCTCGGAGACATAGAGCAATTGGATCAGCAACATATTGTTTTACAAAGGATTTGACCCTAGTTTCATTTGTTCCTAAAAGAAGCAAAGCTGTTATATTAGTATCATCCATGCACCACAGCATTGCCTCAGACCCGGAAACGCAAAAACCTGAAATCATTAGTTTTTATAACATGACAAAAGGTGGTGTTGATGCTTTAGATGAGAAATGCACAGTTTATAGTACGTCTAGAAGAACACGACGATAGCCAATGGTTATATTTCATAAAATATTGGATATGAGTTCAGTAAACGCATATGTCATGTATCAATGTTATAAGGGTAATAGAACCCTAGACAGAAAAGATTTTTTGAAAAACCTGGCTCACGATTTAGTTGAAACACATATGAAAAGGAGATTGGAGAACTGTAGAATTCCGCTGGAAGTAAGAGAGATTATAAAGCGTATACTTCATGCAGATGTATCACCTTAAATCGAGCAAGACCGCCTAGAAGTTAGGAAATATTGTTATCTGTGTCCTTCAAAATTACATAGGAAGACGTCATATTTGTGTGTTTGTTGCAAAAAACCAATTTGTTTGACTTGCAGTCATAAAATATGTAGAGAGTGCAATGCATGAATGTAATAGAACATTTTTTTTTATCCAAACTGGCGCATGCAGGTTTTTTTATGGTTAAGGTTTTAGTTGCGTTTTTTATGGAAATAAGTTTTTAACTGGATGTTGTTACTAACATAATAAACTTTTGTTAATACTGCAGAAATATGTTAAAATAAAAAATTGTTAACCTATATACTAATGTTATTTCTTACTTCCCTATTGAAATAAACTTAGTAATGAAACAAATAATTAAGTACCTCCGTGCAAATAATAGTTATTTGGTATCCCTATAGAACATACTTAAGCTTAGTACTGTTGTATGTTATGAATATACTTAAAACACCTAAATATTTAAGAGGAGTCTCCAAGACTCCACGTCACCGATAACGTAACTGAAATGGGACGTCACCGGTTACGAAAATTGTCATGTCGGTAAAATAACCATGGTCACCGATTATTCAAATGAAAGCCATGCTGCCTGTGTAAAAACAATGTGGCACCATTAACCACTAAAGCATATATACATGTTGACCCCTGTCTAGGTGCCGCTGTTTTCCATCATTGATAAACTCTAATAATATGAAATCTTAGGAATAATTGTGAGATCAGTTGTTTCAAAGGTTGATGTATCGAAGATAAACATTTTTTTTTTAAAGGAAAATGGAATCTTTATTAATTATCTTGCCAAAATGGCTATGATGATGGAAGTTGTATATGAATATTCAAATACAGCTGAGGAATGGGCATCTCGTTGGAGAATATGTGAAATATTATATTTGTATCCCTAATTTTTTTAAGTGTCATTTTTTGGTAGTCTCCTAAGAACATCAATCTTCCTTTGAAGCAATTTGGCTTTTGTCTCTTGTATAGACTCATGCTCAGGGGCATAGCAGACATGCAAAATACCTCCATAGAAGGACTGTGTATCTATCAACCTGCAAATACAAATTAAATTTCAATTGAAATATGTTTGTGAATGAGAGAAAATGACAAAACAATCTATTTTGTCACCAAAATACACTCCTTGATTGATAACACATTATATACCATTACTTTTGCAAAAAACGCAAAAGTAATATATCAAAAGTATGCCTGGGTACATCACTTATTTTACCATTTTGGTACTTATTACATGTGAATCAGTGCATTTTTTATTCATACCGTTTGGCAATTCTAGCAGACTGTATCCGCTGATATTCAACATGGTAACATTCTGTAAACATCTCATTGACAGCACCTTCAGCAACATGCATGGATACAAGATTTCCATACTTTAGGCACAATGTTCTCAGCTCCCTGCGTAGATTCAATGCAGGAACACCATAAATGTACAGATGTTGAGATTCGGAGTTAACAGTGTAGGTCTGAAAAACAAAATTTAATTACCATCATTGGAAAAGTTGAAATTAATGCGACATAAATGATTTATTATGCGAGTCGTACTTTCACTGCGGTGAGTTTTCTTCCCTGCCTATATGCAGGCCTTGTTTTGCATAGGTCTTGCTGAATATGATGAGGCTTTGTAGATTTTTTGGGCGAACTTGTTTCTTCCATACATAAAATATATCAGAAAATTTGAGTCGAAAGATATTCAAGAAGATTTAACTAATTGTGTAAAATCAAAACACTTGTTAGGTTATGTAGTGAGGCGTGGTTTCACCAAATTAATCACGTGGCCTGCAGAGTGAAAATTAGGTGTGGTGGGTGAGAAATAGGCATGACAAAGTTATATTTGGCCGTGGTTAGTGAACAGAACTAAAATATTAGGCGTGATTACTCCGACAGTTTGTGAAAGTAGGTGGTATTTTTGTCAGATGACGTGGAAAATGGTTATGTTTCAGATAGAGTTACACCTCTAGCTGGCTAATACAGTATTGCTTGCCAAAGTTACCACAAAACTAAAAATTATCATTCAATTTTGCTGTCATAGTTGACAGTGACATTTTGAATTAGATCTTTCTCAATTATTTATTCTGTGATTTACCTGTTCAATAAGAACTAGGTGAAGATACCGATTTTTTCAATTTTCTACAATTTTTATTATCCATATTCCAAATAAGTAAGTACTTTCTTCAGCAACATTTCAAATGAAATCATCTACAATATGTAAACATGTTTCGATAGTCATATTTATCCTGTGACCTATTATGTAATATGAATTGCCCCATCATATCAATTCTTTTTAAATAAAAATAATATTATCTATTTTTTCTGATAGGATGGCCGCTCTTCGATCAGTCTCTCGTCTGCTGACCCGGAGATGCCTCGGCACGACACTCAAAAGAGGATATGCGGATGAAATGAGTTTTACATTTGCTGCTGGGAATCAGGTTAGCATCGATGATTTTTAAGATTTAAATGTGCTTTTACACATTTTAATGCCCACGCAGCTTAGAAAAATTCATGAGCAGCACTTTCACCAACCGAAATATTACTCAAATTAGACTCTAAAAACAAACACTATAGACAAGTAGACTTCTTTTTAGTGTTGGGGCTAGGAGCAGGTGAAATATGCCAATTATGGCCTTAAGATACCCAATTAAAATAGGCATTAGAGAGGTCAAAAGGTATTGAATATCTTGGTGCCATCTGTGAGATAGTAAAAGAACTGAATACTCTGTTTTCAATATAGATCTCTAAAATAATTTTGTGCTCTTATGTCATAGATGGCCCCAGTACCTTTCAGATCCTGTTTTAGATGCCAGAATACAGTACATGGTTGGATATCTTCAGACATAATACATTGACCAATGGCTAAGAGCAATTTGAGGTCTGAAAAATGTTACAAATGGCCATTTTCAAACCTGCTCAAATACTATATTAAACATAATTATATTAGAAGTTGTCAATTGTCTAAAATTGCAAATGTACTCCTAGTATATCATACTCAAGGGTATTTTGGGGGTTTAGTTTACATCAAAGCATTGTTATTTGTCAATAATGCTTTATGGGCCATGCTTACAGCCCTCTAGTATATTTAATATTCTGATTTTGTTTGTATATTTTACCTTTCAGGTGTATTATGATGGCCAGTCAGTAAGGCAAGTAGATGTTCCATCATTCTCAGGCAGTTTTGGTATTCTGCCTGCCCATGTACCAACTTTAGCTGTTCTCAAACCTGGAGTAGTTTCAGTTTTCGAGAATGATGGTAAAGTCAACAAAATCTTTGTCTCCAGTGGAACAGTTACCATTAATGATGATTCGTCAGTACAGGTATGTTTTTTATAGTTATTTTTATAAAACATTTGTTTTATTCTTTTCAAAGTTATTATCAACTAAAAGGGCTTGAATTATAACCATTTTTCCTTTATTGTAGATTCTTGCAGAAGAAGCACATCCAGTAGAAAATTTGGACCCTGCAGCTGCTAGAGAGGTTTTGAACAAAGCACAGAGTGAGCTGTCATCTGCCACATCTGAACAGGTAAAGTTAAATTTCAGCTCAAGGTGAATTAGAGTAAATCAGAAATTAGCTTCCTATACCTAAACATAAAGTGGTTGGACCCCCAGGTGTCCCACTTTCTATCTCACTTTTGGCCAGAAAATTTTCTTATGGTCATATTCAAATTGTGTGTGTCAAACTATCTTGTTCCAAGAACTTTAAACAGCAGTAAGTAAAAAAACCGTGTGTATATGTGGTCAGGTCAAGGACTTGTTTCTTGAGTAAATGGCAAGAGCCTACACAATATTCCAGCAGAGGCTTGATATGGACAAATTGCGAAATTAAGGGCACATAACATATAATAATAATGTCTTTATTCCCACTCAAAAATATAAAAACAAGTTAAAGATGCATAACTAGCTCTATACATTGTAGGAGGGGCAAAGTATGGCTGCTCTTCTACTTGACCCCTGATTTTAAACTAACATAGATATGCGCATTGAAACAGTTAAATAGCAAAAGATTATATAAATGGTATCATATTGTATGGAATAGAAGAATACTCTCAAGGAATATTATATAAATAAGATCAATTAAAAAAGGTTGTAGAGTGAAAAGCTGGTGTAATAAAAATGTATTTTTTATATAAATAGGAAGGCACCTTATGTGTAATAATATTATGGTATTGCATGGTATTGTTGCTTCATCCTCAGCCAGCTCACATCAGTAAGTTTTGATGATACTGAGTCATATTTCCTTAAACCGCCTAATGCAAGGACTTTTTTTCACTTTGATTTTATCGATTTTGGAATGCGCCCTTTTAGAGGTTTAACATACTCCTCAAGTTTCAAGTTTTTATCTCTTTATAACTCACGTGCTACAGAGCTAATTCCTAACACATTGTGATAGACATGTATTTGCATCATTGTTACACAATGATAACTCCACTTTTAGGTTCAAACAACATGTACATAACTGTACTTTTAGTTGGATTCAAGTCTAAACAGATATGACGTGATGCTTTGGTGAGATGGTCAATGTCTTTATTTATGGGCTTGACAGCAGAAAATGATTGGGTTAAAGGAAATGATAAGTAGGCTTGGGTATCATAAAAATGAGCTGTATAGACCAGAGGTTACCAATCTTTTTAGGTTTCCGGCTCACTAAATAATCGGATTTTTTCCGCGGCGCCCTTGATACATCAGATATTTTTCTAAATTTCTCACTTTCTGCATACATGATTGTTGGCGCAAAAATTCGAATATTGAAAATTCCAACAAAATTTCCGAATTGTTTAATTGAACATTCCGCGGTGCTCTTATGACGGCACCCCGGCGCACTTTTTGGGAATCACTGGTGAAGGCTGAAATAAACCTTAGGGTAAATTATAAACATTTGCGGATCCAGAATGGACGCCTCGGGAACAAACATGCTTACTTTCAATGACGCGGAGTACTTATTATTCAACATCACCTGATGTTGACGATCGCCAAAGTTGTCGCTCATCCTGTCAAATGCCTTCGAGTAATCTAAGAGCACTAGGGCAGTTAGATTACCTTTTTCATCATTGCACAACACATCATTCATCGTTCCCAGCGATGCTGTTGCACAGTTATCCGTTGGATGGAACCCTGATGACGTTGTTCAATCTTAGATGTTCTCTCATTTGAAAATCCAAAATTCTTTCAAGTAATTTAGTCAGTACACTGATATTGAGGAAGTCTTTAAGCTCAGATGGCTGACTAGCTTTAGGTGAAGGTATATGCGTTAATGATATAGCGAACAGAATTATTTTAGGGCAGCAATATAGTAGTATTTCGATCTTTAACAAATCTGCCCCAAATGCTTGGGTTTTGAAGCTGAATAATTCATAACCTACTTGATCTGTGGATGCTTGGAGAAAGTTAAACAGGGAACATTAGGTTTGATATTATTCTTACAAAAAGAGTGTCCAATCAACTTCTTTTGAGTCTAAAAATATGTGGTAGTTCTATGTACATGGAATAGTGGGACACCCTGTATAGCTGCAGTAGACATAGATGCAAATTATCCATTTATTTCATCATCAGCTAGATCTTCAGGGATAAATTACTTTGGGCTCATCGTTCGTGCTGCTAACTTTATGTACAACGTGAACCTTTTTTGCATTATCTACTGCTAATTTTATTATATTGCTGAACGCTTTGTACTCCTTCCAATCCTGACCACGTTTCGATTTTCTATAAACGATAAGTTTATCATCTCCCAGCCTCATCGGAAATCCGATGTTATCAGTCAGCCGGTGCATTTTTTTTGTTAACCTATATGATATAGTTCTAAAACTAACGGAGAAATCAGATTTAATTTCATATCTATATCCTGACAATAAACTATTTGGATAAAATCTACTTCCTTCAGAGAAATTTTGATTGATTCGAAGTTGAGATTTTTAAAATCTCTGTAGCAACGCAATACAGATTGTCTAGCCTCAATCTCACATTGTAGAACAACAGATACTTAACTGATCAGACAAGTTTGATACATCGGATACATTACAGCTACTTGGAATATTTTCAGAACAAAAAAATAGATCTATTAACGTTTCAGAGTAGACTCAAAACCTGGCCGTGCATATGATGCAAAGCAAAAGTATTCAATGAGTTACCGAATAACTTAACAGAATTACTGTTCCTATCGAGAAAGTCAATATTAAAATCACCAGTGCAAATCGGTATCATATCTCGGTTATTAAAAACTGAGTGAGTCTTGGAATGTATTAATAAAATCATAAACGTTTGACTCAGGATACCGATAGGCGGCGCAAAGTAAAAATTCGTCGCTTTGATTTTAAAAGTTATCTACAATTGTCCAATTGAAGATCTGATGTCAGTATGGCTGCATCTAGTTCGGTTCGTTATATAAATCAGGGTGCTAACATCTCTAAAGTAAACTCTTATTATTTCTATAAAGAGTATACCCATTGTCAAATTAAAGCAATGAAGTCCCAATCACAGGAACTGACGACAGTGTTTTTTAAATCTAAAAACTTAATCAAAAGAGACGTGATATTTAAAATACTGCTATTTTAAGGTTTTTATTGCGATTCATGTTTGTTGGTGAATCAGCCATAGTTGATTCTCGATTTTGGTGTCTCTGTGCAAGTCTATTCTGATGACTTCGACATAGTGGTTAGGTGTCATGATAGAATCATGGAGTTAATTTTCCTGAGCTATCGATTAGTACAGAGTAAATGAGGTTTTTGCTTCTTGGAGGACAACACTTATGGAGAGCAGTCATAAACAGACGGTAATGTATAATTGCGAATTGCAGAAAATCAAATACAACAAACGATACCTACATACCTAACAGACACTATGCACTACCACCACCACATTATGCTAAAATATATAATTTGTCGCCAATTTCCCAAGGAAAAATCGACAACAACGGAACGTTGTGGCGACTACAACGTTACACTGTCCGGTCCTTTGTTGGCCGTCGAACGACGAAATACGAATCCAAAGCCCATCAGAATAGAAAAACTTGCTGCTTAGAAATCGTGATGCATGTACAGTCTGCGACAACCAGAAGTTCGCCTTGTTTTGGCCAAACAGCCAAGATTAATAATCGCTTTAAAATAAAGTAATCATAAAATACTCGCCGGGGTCTTGTTTAAAAAGGTTTAAACTTTAATTCAGATACTTGGTATCTTGAGTAATTATTTTTTTGTTGCAGGCGAAAGCAGAAGCATTGATTGCTGTAGAAGTAGGAGAAGCGTTGGTCAAGGCTGTGGAGTAGACTGTAATCTAAATTTGTAAATGCTACGTATTTGTTAATTACTGTAATAAAAATGTAAAATATACATGTTTTCTTTTTCTAACACTCCTTGAAATCCCATATTAGGAGCATGGCACGTTCCATACACCTCGCGTTTCTGTAATGTTGTAAGCATATCGTCAGAATATTATGAGAAGCGGTCGAAAATTAGAAAATCTGTATCAGGGTTGCTGAGACATCAAGAGGTAGCAGTGTGTGACTTTCCTGCCAATGTCAGGAACAGTATATTTTCATCTTGCATTTCTGCGCTCATTATTGCCGACAAAATTTGGCAACTACAGAACAAACCTTGTCTTTATCCATCGGTTGAAAATTCTGTATCAGGATCGCAGAGGCGGCGAGAGGTAACTGTGTGCGATGTTTGAAGCAGGAGCAAAGTATCTCCACCTCCCTCGCGTTTCTGTGATCCTAGCAGCAAATTTTTACATGGAATAATTTGCAAGAGAAGTCAGTCGAAAGTGCTACTATTAGAGATTCTGTATCAGGATCGCAGAGACAGCGAGAGGTCAATGTGAATTTTCCGTCAGTTAGGAGCCAAATATCATTTCCCTCCTCGCATTTCTGCGATCCTGGTAGTAACTTCTTAGAGATAAAATTTAATGATATCTGCGAGATAGCTTTGGTCGGAAGATTGAGAGAGGTAACTATATGCGTTATTTCATTTATCAAAATGTCTTCACCTCCACTGGTTTCTGCGATCCTGACAGCAAATTTCAACGATTCTGCTAGAGAAGTCTGGTCGAAGTACCTTACCCATCAGTTGGAAATTCTATATCAGGATCACAGTCAGCAAGAGGTATCTGTACGAATTTTTCGTCAATATCTGGAGCAAAGAATCCCTTTACCTCCTCGGGTTTCTGCGATCCTGGTAGCGAATTTTTACAGAGGGTAATTAAAGAGAAGTCTGGTTGAAAGTTAGAAATTCTGTACCAGGATTGCAGAGACAGCGAGAGGTAAATGTGCATGTTCCGCCAGTATCAGGAGCAAGGTACCTCTTCGGGTTTCTGCGATCCTTTCAGCAAGTTTTTACAGTCAGTTTAGCGATTCATTAAGAGAAATCAGACCGAAAGTGATTTACTCCTCAGTTGGATCAGGATCCTTGATACAATGAGAGGTAACTATGATTTTCCGCCACAATCAGAAACGAAGTTTCTTAGATCCTAGCACATTTTTACAGTGCTATCAGTTGCAAATTCTGTATAACGATAACAGGAATATCGAGACGAATGTATATGAATCTCCAGCCAATATCAGGAGCAAGCAATCTTTCTACCTTTTCGCGTTTCTGAAATCCTGGTAGTAAATTTCTACAGGCAGAATTTAAGGAGCTTGCATGAAAAGTCCGCTGAAAATTCTGTATAAGGATCGCAGGGACGGCAAGAGGTAACTGTTTGCGAGGTTTGAATTTCAGGCCAATAACAGGAGCAAAGTATAACTCATCTCCTCGCATTTCTGCGATCCTGATGGCAAATTTTTATCGAGAGAATTGAATCATTTTGCACGATATGTCTGATCAAAAGTGCAAGAGGTAACTATATGAGAAGTTTGAATTATATATATCAGGAGCAAAGTAACTTCACCTCCTCGCATTTCTGCGATCCTGGTATTAAATTTTTACCGACAATTTGGTGATTTTGCAAAGGGAGTGTGCTCGAAAGTGTTTTTATCCACCAGTTCTCTATCAGGATTACAGACAGCACGAGAGGTAACTATGTGGAAGTTTGGATTTCACGCCAATATCATGAGCAAATTACGTTTTCACTTGGCGTTTCTGGTCTGGTTCCACTTACGATTTTCACCCAATAATTTTTTCTTAAGAGAATACAAAGGTTCCGCCACTTCCATATGTTTCTGCGATCCTGATGGCAAGTTTTAAACAATTGGAGCCTGGGGTATTACGCAAAAAACAGCGAATTAAATCAAATACCTGTCTTTATTGACATAATAAAATACTTGTGACAAACGAAACAATATTTCCTCTTACACATATACAGTTTTTAGACGACACAATCATCGTTTTTCGGTTTCAGAAAATCTAAGATATCATAACCAGTATTCCACACACAGACATCACATTTTAAATTCTTAACAACTCCATCCTCATCAAGGTACTGTCCATTTTGAGCCTTCATTACCAAATCCAACAATTTGTACTTGTCTCTGACACAAGCTACGTCGTTTTCACTCAGTTTCAGTATTGGACAGAAATCGTGAAGACCATCTCCACAGTATACCACTTTTTCGTAATATATATCTTGCTTCTTTTTGTTATCTACGAATTCCTCCAGCACTTGGCCTTTGCATAGATTTTTTGTGCTCAATTTACAGTTTTCTTGAAAATGGTACATTTGGATTTTGAGCATTCCATTTTCGAATTTTGCTGGATTGGTAAATACCTGCAAAAGAAAAAAATATGTGTACCACGAAAATTAAAAACAATAGTGGGTCATTAATTTTTATTTATTTGATGAGCAAAGTGACGCGTTTTCAGGATAGCGACTAGGTCCACCCAGATTGAAAATTATCCTGTAGCTTTCAATCTGACAAATCTCCACGTTTTGCTGGCCACCAAAAGAAAACCAAATAAGTAGGTTTAAATGTTTCTCAACATTTAGGACGCCTCGGTGGCCTTTTTCAAAGTACTTTACTATTGGTCCTTGATTGAGGCGTCCTTTCATTCGTATAACCTACGTCAACCCACTTTAACCAAATGCTCATCACATACTTTCGATCGTGGTTATGACGTCACAGCAAAATCTGGTTAACAGCGGTTATAGCTGAACCTAAAAGCGTTTTATGGAATACGGTCAACAGCCGCAGGGGTATTATGTATCTTGAAACGAGACTTTATGTCTGGTTTTTTGACATTATGTAGGTTTTTCAACAAGATGTCAACTTAGAAATAGCCGTTATTCACTTGATGTGCATTCGTTATGTAGAAGTATGTATTGCCTAAATGTCATGACGCTTCAGCTGATATTGTTTTGGCTCTGATGTGAATTTATTTTGCGATGTTAAGTAGAAAATACTAGATTTGAAGCACTACGAAAATGTTTTGAGTGTGATACGAAGATATTTATTTTTCAAAATAAAGCCTTAGATATAACCTATCTTTAAAAAGGGTAACACAATCTGCGACCAACAAAGTATGTTGAGGAACTGACTTGCAGCATGGTTACTGAGCGTGATGTTGAGTCATTCCTCCATAGATGGCGCTATTGCTGATACTCACAGCGCTCATAGCGGGCAAACGCGGAATGAACTATATATGCACACTACGAAATATCTAGTCACCAAGTGGGAATTTTGTCGATTTTTTTGACAGTATATAGGTTTTTTACGTAATAACCCTGCCGGTTAAGGTGAAAAAAATTGGTCATCTGGCGGATCGTCTGCAAGGACGTGTCAGTCACAGATCGGCACGGCTGTTATGTAAAAAACCTATAAAACGTCAAAAAAATAACGAAATGTCATCTTTCAGAGTAGGTAGTTTTTTTAGTGCAAATAGTTCATTCCACGTTTGCTCGCTATGATCGCTGTAAGCGTCCATCTATGGAGGAATGACTCAACTCCACGCATTGTTGGTTGCAGAGAGCAAGTATATGTTTTGTGAAGCCGAATAGTCTGTAGTGTTCGCCTCTGAAAAGATATGAAAGAAAGAGGCCTATTCTTTAATTCACCGGTTGAGCCACCGGTGCAACCAATTAACCAATTTTACTTCTTTTAATTTCCGTCTGCGCGACCGGCTGTAGACCAAACTTGTCTATATAGTTTATAGCAAGATCACATCTGGATGATGATGTGTATTGGTCTGCATGTGTATAAAATCAGTGATATTTGCTATATTGCTATTACTGAATATGCTGCCAATGAAGTATATATGTTAGCTGTGTCCGACCGGTTATTTATATGATGTTTTTTATGAAGATAGGTTATGGTCAGTTATAAATTACAATTTTTCCTGTTTTTGTTTTTAAAAAGTTTGAGGAGCATTGCGGTAAATCGCCACCGCGCCCGCGTTGTGTGCAATTAAGCTACATCACAGGAATGACGCATCATTTTCTACTGACATCACCTTGACCAAATGGATCTAATCTATTTTAAATACGATCATCGAACAAAGAGTTGGCCGGTCAAGTCGCAAATGGTGACGTCACGGCAATAGTGTCGAGTTTCGACATCTTAAAATTACCGCGTTATTTTTTCCATTTTTTATTAATCGATACTCGAAGTCGTTCAAGTATAAAATGACGTTCAAGGCGTAATTGTTTAGCCTTATAGACTGGAAATCAGGATAAGCGATATTTGAATCACAAGCATTTTCCACATTTGACACGTCACTACGGTATTGGAAAATGGCGAGGAATTTTGTGAACGAAAGAAAATACTTCATTTATTTAAATGACGTAATTGAGATCTTTGATATCTGGGAAAAAGGAATGGTCAATGTCTTTCTGTTGAGTTGTAAAAAAAATGTAAACGGGCGCACTACCACCCTTAGGCGCGTACGACGGGGTTGGATTTCAGAGGTGATTTTTGTCATTTCTCACATACCTCTGAAATGTACTTCGACAAGTCATTGGCACCTAACCAGGTACGTATAAAATGGGAATTTGAATCGCTGATCACTATGACGTCATAGTTGTAGTTTTGCTTCAGTTCCTTGATCAATTCAGTCATTCCAGCTACAGCTGGTAGATTCATCATTAGTTGATTGACTGCATCTTCTTTTACGTTATTCTGTAAGAAAAGAACTGATTCAAAAGATATTTATCGTATAATAAAATAAAAGGGTTATATCAGGCTTTTGACTATCCCCGCTCAGATGTCATTTATCAAGGCACTTGCGCTTACATAATTGAGAAGTGACATAATAAACAGCAGTGTAAGAACAGAATGTACATTTATTTTATGTTAAGTATTCAAACAAAAAACAATGTGGTATCTCCTTCTTTCCTCTTTTCTCATTATTTCCTGCAAGTCCTGTAAGCCTTTGGAGGGGGGCGTGCTATAAATTCGACTCTCAGCATTGGGATCTCGGAAAGTAGGAAAGAGATACGAAGTAGGTCAAATGAGGGGAAAGTTTCACATTTGAGTAACTAAAAAACGGTACTTAGAAATTTTTGTAGTTCTGAGTATTTCCGGAGAAAGACGGAAATAAATGAATGTTTACAAAATCGTTTTTATTTTTTCTCGAGTTTATTTGAGATGGGAGTTCAAAATCGAAGGCACTTTAACATTGTCCTTTTTATCCTCTACGAGATTTATCCTCTACAAGATGGCATGATTACAATTTCAATGACGTTTCGTCCCTTTGCCATCTTCTTATTGACGCCATACGTTAACATTATCAAACTTATGTTATTGAATAAATTAATATTTTCATAGTTGGCCTTAAAAATGACAGTTAATCAAATGTTTATCCGATTAAATCATTAATGATTAATTTTTTTCAGAAGCCAGTTTAAAAAACATTCAGATAATTTGACCATTTATCGAGTATAACAAACGTTATTTTATCATGATAGCAGCGATCTACATTTCAGCTCAGGCGAAGATCAATAGTATTTGTATCTCAGCCAGAAAAAAATAAAAACGATTCTAGGATTAATTTTTTCCGGCTTTCTCCGGGAATACACGACATTATGAAACTTTCTAAGTGCAATTTTCTTAGTTACCCAAATGCAAAACTTTGGGTCCATTTAAGTGACTTCGTATCTCTTACCATTTCCGAGGTCCCAATGGTGAGAGTCGAATTGCCACGGATCATGGAATTTCTGTTCTGTTGATTGATTCTGAGAAATCTTAGGAATAATTACGAAGGCGATCGGGGAGTAAAATATTTCTTTGGGTGGAGGATGAAGCCCTGTTGAAGAATGAACAATTTACTTTAAAATAAAAATACGCGACTCAAGAAGTAGATAACATTTACACCTATTTTATTGTCAACGACTAAAAATCGTGCATATACCTGGTATAATATTTCAAATACTTTTTGCATAAAGACTGTCCATCCATCAGTCTTATGGAGATCCTTAACTTCTTTTGGAATGTATTTTCTGTCGACCATATTCATCGCCATTATGTCAGAGTTGTCATTGATAATCGTATGATCAAAGTCGAACACAGCCAGTTTTTTCGCCATCTATGACAAGAAAAAATAATGAGTAATTATTGCATTCTCACATCAGTGAATGCCTATGGAGTCATAAAAAGCAAAAACTATAAACAATGCAATAATTCTTCCAAATCGATGCCCGGACAGTCATAAGCAATTAATTCTCATAATAGAAAGAATATATTTCCTATCCTTGGATGTTGTTGCCTGTAGATGGTGATCGGTTTTTCCGTCAACGGAGGCGGTACCAACGAATTCGAATAGATTACAAGGAGGAATATCAATAAGGATTTTTTCGCGAGTTCAGGGTGTAGCACCGTGCAGTCCACGGTGTAGCACAGTGCAGTACCGGGAACTGATATTGAAATTTTCGCGAAGAACGGGAATATGGGAATACGAGTGTGACGTCATCCAAATGTAAAAAAATCACGTGGTACGGTTAACCACCTAATGTAGGTGAGGTACTAGTGGGTGACAGGTCTCATGTCAATGTCATTTAGAAAAAAAGAGATCTCAATTGAAAGTTTGCCTTCACAGAAAATTAACTGAGATTAATTATTTATTAAATCTTAAATCAAGAAAATGGAGGAACAGGTCCACCCGATTTTAAATGGCGAGGGAGAAGACTATGAGATCATCATAGATATAGGAACATCACTTGTCATATCAAACGGTTGATATATACATTGCACAAAAACGATCGGTCTTTTTATTTCAGATTTAAAGGAGGCAGCTAAGTTTATCAAAGAGGTTAAAGCAAAAAATTTGCGTAACATGCGTCACGTAACTACTCCCGGTGTATCTTGAAGCTGTCAGTACTTCGAGAGGGGGAAATTCCATCTGTCCCCGCTCCATTCACTATGAGTTCTCGCGAAAAAATCTTTTATGTTCACATTGCATTGCCGCCAAGATTGTTTAGCTTTACTATATCGTCGCATTCCGGAGAAAATCACGTAACTTCACATTTTCTCAAAAATGACATTTTTATGCAATCTTTCAGCTATAAAGGTAACCTCTCGGTGCACAAAATATCCAAGTCCCAAAATCACTATTTACACGTTAAAAACCGCCAACGCAATACATGTATCTCCTGGTGATGTTTAGTGTCCCGCGAAAAATGCGTAAGCGCCCAGTCCCTATGTAACGACCGCAGTTTGCATGGCAGTACAGTACCGCATATTTTGTTGTTTTTAACGTGTCTAATCAACTTTTTGGAAAGCTGTTTTTTGCAAGGTGGACAGTGAGTATTCTAAATATGTTCTACAGTGATTTCAGTATTCAACATTCGCTAATAATCTTTATAAAAGCCATTGTGTATGCTTCTGGAGATACGTAGTACTCTATAAAGTTGCGTATTTGAACATATGTTACCGCTAATATCCAACATCCGCTAATATGCATAATAATTAGACATAATAGGAATTATGCGTAAATACTAAAACTGTCGGTTAGTATGCAAAATAACGTCGCGTATCAGGAATTATCGATAACTACTAAAATCGTCAGTAATTATGCAAAGTATCGCCATATTTTTAGTAAATATTGATAATAACTGACACAGCAATAGGAATTATGCATATCTGCTGCGTATATTAGTGATTATACATGTAACCTCACAAAATACGACTGGTCGTGCCTTGAAGCGTGCGTTGAAGTTTGATGTTATGTTTTGATTGTTTTGTTGTTGGAGTTTCTCATCGCAATGACTGCACTACCTACTGATAACATTAAATTTAAATTTGTCGATGAAGTTAAGAAGTTGAAGGGAAGAACAAACTCACGATTGAACATTTTATTCAAGGAAGAATATAACGTGCTTTTATCCGAGGTAAGAATGATTTTAAACTAATATAGTGCCTATACTTTAACGTTTAATTCCTGATGTTTTTCTCTAGGTCACGGATGCTTCATCAAATAATGGTCCCAAAACTCCATTACAGTATCGTAGACTTAAAAGATTTGGAATAGTTGAGTCGGAAATATTGAAAAGCTTGTAACGCGAAATAAAGAGCAAACGGGAAAGGAAAATAATGAAGATTCTAATAATATAGTGATTGACATACGAGATGTTCGCTATGTTGTTCCCGTTGAAGAAATGTTAGATATTTTAACCGTTTGTCACAGAAGTATAGGTCACGGAGGAAGAGATCGAATGAAGACCGAAATGTCCAAACAGTATTCGAATATTACACAAGGTTATCAACGATGCAATTGCACAAAATTCTGCCAAAACAATACCTGCCGCGGTAAAAAAATAATCGATTATGCTATAGTAAGTGCCATCAAAGCTCTTCTTGTTCCAATAAATAAATATAAATATAATAATATAAATAATTTTTATGTAGTCGTTTGAAATGTTACGGTTATGGTTTTTTTTCGTTCTGATTCCTGAATATGTTTGATTTTCATCTATGCATACCATATAGTTTTGTAGAATTACATATATATTAAATGTTATGTAATAGTATACTTACTCGTAATATATTTCTATTTTATCATTAACTACATAGCATTTCAAATTTGACGTTACTTAGTTAATGACGTTACGTGATATTATGCTTAATCACTAACATAAGATATTGGTAGCTTCAGTATGTACGCATAATTTCTAATTTGGACAGTGAATATGCATCATAACTGATTATTTTAGTACTTATTAATAATTCCTGATACGCGCCGTTATTTTGCATACTAACGGACGGTTTTAGTATTTACGCATAATTCCTATTATGTGTAGTTTTTATGCATATTAGCGGATTTTGGATATTAGCGGTAACATATACAAGTCATTTGAGGGAGATACATAATTTTTGCGTACTTACAGCTATCTAAGCATTTTGCTTTTTGCTTTTTATCAAACCAAAGCGGCTGTAAAAAATACTGTACTGACATTTCTGCTTCCACAGAAGGTACGTCATAATGAAAATATGCATTGGATTTCAAAGTAAGAAACCAGGTAATTAAGTTGAAAGAAATATATGATTGATAGTCAAGATGTAATTTAGATAATCGTATCGCGTCTTTAAAAAGGCTGCCGTGGCAGATTGTTTTTACATTTCATCAAATAAAAAGATAGTTAATTGAATCAGAAGAGTTATTCCAGAGAAAAAGGGCTAAGCAGCATAATGTTGACGAACCAATGTGGTTAAAAAATGTAAATCAAGCGAACCGAGAAAAGGGCTTAGCGTATAAAGCCAAAATGAGGGTTGATGGAAAATGGAAATATGACATTCGAGAAAATGTTATTTAATGTTTGCGACTGTAAGATTAGATTACAACTAAATCTGGTAAAATAGAGTGCAGAAAATTGACTCAGGAAAACCGAGGATATACATATGTATATTCAACATATTTTGGAACCACATGAATTGGCAGGAGAGAAAAATGTACCTATATCCAGAGTTTGGTGAACATTCAAAATGTAAAAAGAAGAAGGGGGGTAAATGATAACAGCCTATTCACTAAAGTACTACGTCAAAGTCAAGAATAAAGAATTTAGAGTCTGCGAAAGAATGTTTCTAAATACGATCAGCATGAAAGAATATACAGTATTGAACTGGACGAAAAGTGACAAACTGGAAGGAAGTGGAAAGAGACTAAAGGATAAAAGAAGACAGAGTAGGAGTATAATATACGGAGGACGAACGAGGCACTGATCAGTTTTTCGATTCATTACCAAAAGTTGAGTCACACTATTGCCGAGCGTCAAGCAGTAAACTATATTTGGCACCAATGTGGACTTCAACAAATCAGTTGTATAGTTTTTACAAACGTCATCATTGCCCTGACAGTGGTGATGGACCCGTATCACGAACTGTCTTTTTCAACAAATTTAATAAACGAAATCTCTCGATATATGTTCCCACGAAGGACCTGTGTGATACCTGCAATGCAAGGAATCTTCCAAAACGGGAGTATGATTTACATCAAGAAATGAAAAAAGAAAAGGAAAAGAAAAAGACAAGAGATCACCTGCGACAGTCTTCAAAATGGACTTGTAAGCAGTTTTCCTATGTAAAAATCGTCAGTCAGTGCAATGTATTATAAGACTAAGTTCCTTGTGCACAATTTTACACTGTATAATTCAAAAACCCAAGACGGATACTGCTTTTTATGGAATGAAACGGAAGGTGGCCTCACGTCTAACGAATTCTCATCTATATTGACTGAGTTTATAGAAAACAGCTTCACTAAAGGAAGAGTAGAAAGAAGTAATCCTATATAGTGACGACTGTAATGGGCAGAATCGAAACTCTATTTTGGCCACTACTTTACTTAAAATCACAATGCTCCATAAGATAACGATCATTCAAAAATACCTTAAAAAAAGGGCATACGCAAATGGAAGTCGATTCAATGCACACTTGCATTAAAAAAAAGATTCGGAACCGTAAAATCAATATACCGGCTGATTATGTCCATGCTTGAGTGACATCTAGACAGAATCTAAAGCCTTATAAGTAAGATATATTACATCAAACTTTCTGAAGAAATTCGATACACTCAGTTACTACAAATCTATTCGACCTGGTAGATATACAGTGGTGAAAATACGTTTTTTAAAATATGACCCATCCGGAAAGGTATATAAATTAAGGGGAGCAACGAAATCAGACAATTAAGCTGTCGTCACCTAGACTAAATTCTTCACACAACCTGTACCAAGAAAGAAGGACGATAAAGAAAGAAAAATATGAACATCTCCAAATTTTTAAGAAAACTTTACTTCAAGATTACTATACCCTCTACGACAATCTTACCTACGATAAAAATTAATCTTATCACCATGTAATATGTTCTAATATATTGAATGTAATAAAAATACAATCATGATAAATTCATGATTTTGTCTTCTGAAAAAATAAGTATGTCCCTGACTTCAAGGACAAAAATTGCGTAACTCCTTAAAAAAATTAGGTGTTATACTTGGCAAGTTTTTTTTCGCTTTCATCTACATGTGGCCGGTTTTTCAACAGTTAGTATGAATTTCGTTGAGTTATTAGATAAACACAATCTTCAGGAAAAAAATTTTGTCTCCCCTGAAAAATTTTCCGATGGGGACACAAGTGATTTTCTCCGGAAGGCGACGATATATTTTTTCTCTGGGGCGGGTATTCAAGTAGCCAATTGTACTGCGTGTACTAATGTTCAGCAGAGCAAATCTGCTCTTATCCCGTTAACATTGCTTTCTGCATTCCACAGAAATCTTGACCATTTTCGGAAACTAGTAGGATTGAATTTAACGTGAAGTAGCCTTATCGCCTCGTAGTATGGACTTGCAGTCTGACTACTTACTATTTAACTTTAGTTCAAAACCAATTGAAAGCTTGCACTTTCTACCTAGTCCAAATTCGTTGAACGGTACCGCCCTGCGAAATTTAGTCGGGCGTTTTTGCATCTTAGTGCAAAACAAAATAATGCACATCAGTAATATTTTGTAGACAGTTCGAAAAAACGCTTGTAATACAATTGTAATAAGTTGATTGAAAAATCTGACATTTTTTCTTAGTGTTCACTTACTGTAAGAATAAAATAGTTTTTCCTGGCTTTCTTTGATACACTGTATTCCAAGTCAATTTTATTGATATCCAATATGTTCAGACTTAATTCCAGTCTCACTACTCCTTTTGGAGTTTCAGTTGTCTTAGCTGTTATTTTAGCTTCTAATTTTGTATCAGTTTCTTGCTCTTCTACCTTTTTATTGTGTACTAGAACTTTACCTGAGCCCGTTTCTTCTTTTACAGTATCTAATAGGTTAGTAATAGATGATTTTTCTGGACTAGTCTTCACTTTATCCTCTATAACTTTTTCACCAGCTGTCATAACCTCTGTAGCACCTATATTAATTAGGCATGGGTCTACTTTTGGTTTTACAGCTTTCAACAATTTAGTATTCCATGTTTTTTGTGAAACAGTTTTTATGAAAAATTCCTTTTCTTTATTTTTTAAGACTTCAATATCTTTTATTTCTTTTTTCGCTTGCTTGATGCTTAAGGTTTCCTCTATAGCTTTCTTTACATTAATTGTTTGCGCAGGCTTATTAGGGCCAAGAGATATTTTCCAACTCTGCAATATTGGAGCGCATTTGAATAAAGTCAACTGTCATTGATATCCCATTTGCACACATTTATTTCCTTACACTAGTAAGATTGTTACAAGAGATTTGGTACTTGAAGAGGAAAATACATTTCAGAAGTGGGAACATTTTATATTTCATACTAGTTATTAGATGACGTCATAATTATAAACAACTGGTAGCAGTCAACATGGATTTAGCTGTGCAGAAGTAGGAGAAAAATCTGAAGATCTCTACCTACCAATGGTTAGCCAAGATGATCATCCTCATCCCATATGATGAAGATGCCAGACCTCTATGCTCGCGGCTCATAACTGCTCGGCATTCTGCGCAATGCACAGAGACATGTCGCACCACCAAAATGGTCGACCCATCTGTCAGCCGGGATATCACGTATTTACTGAGCAGACCAACAATGGCTTTCTTTGTATACCGGGTGTCCCAGAAGTCGACGTCAAGCCGGAAACGGAGGATAGGACAAGTCATAATAGTCATCAGAAAAATATAAAAAAACAAGTCGTGTACAGTTCTAAATATAGGTTTAAATTTAAAAAAAATTGGAAAATCGTAAACATTTACACAATGTGATCTTTTGATTCTCATTGCTACAAATTTCAATTTTTGTTTTTAGATGGAGTGACGGACATTGTCATTGTGCGTAGTAACACCAAAACAGATAGTATCGCCACTTTTATCAATTCATGATTCTGTAGTGCCACCAGTGGCGAAGCGTCCATGTAACCATTGTTACCATTGGTAACAGTTAAAAATCTTAAAAATAAATAACTTATGACTACTGTGAAATAATTTCATTCATTTGTTTACCCACCAATATGTCCTAGTAATTCAGTAAATAGCAGATTAGCCCCACGTTTATAATGCGCCCTATAATACTGTCTAGATTTTGTGAACGCGATCAAGCCGACTCGCCTCGACTTGGTTGTTACCATTTTCGTTTATGGATACACTTGTTGATAGTCCGTCGGGGACAGTCGGTGCCGGCTCGTGTCTGGTCGCGGTCGCCCAAGTGCTTGGGCCGCCGCGATTATTATGTAGGCTTGTCACCATTTTTTGATTTGGTTACTCACTTCTCCCTCGTTAGTAATCGTTTTGGTTGCCGGATGTAGTGTGCGTGCAATTGAACAAGGATGAGTGTCGTTGCCTAATCGATTAACTACTTGAAAAGTCATTCTCCTTGTATAATTTTGAAGAAAAAAAGGAGATAATTGAAAGTGGAATACCAACTTATTTTAGATAATTTTAAAAAGGAATAAAAAAAGTAGTTCGATATTTTAAATTTACTTGGTATATTGAAAACTCTTGGTTATGTGGTTGCAAGACAAACAGATTGTGTTGCTGGCCATGTCTTCTATTTTCTACAAAAAAAAAACTGGGTGGACCAGCAACGATTTAAATAGTTTTAGGGTTCTGAAGAGGAGACATGAAATTTCTCTTTTACATGTGAGATGTGTAGCCAAATTGATTCAATTTAGCAAAACAAGAATCGAAAGATGTCTTAAAAAAGATTTTAGGCAGCACACTTATAGATGCTGTATGTTTTTTGGCCAAACAAGAATTACCATTTCGGGGTCATTTTGAAGGGGATGTCTCTGACAATAGAGAAAATTACTGGGAATTGTTAACATTAATTGCCAAAAAAGATAAAAGAAATCTGAACATCTAGAAACGTCTGCTTTTTCGGAAGGCTTGGATTAGTCATAGCATAAGACGATGAGGTATATCAAGTGCCGCAGACGCCCAGTCCAGCAATGTTTAACTTAATTTAAAAAAAGTTTAAATACAATACCTAAAATAAGCAAAAACTTTTAGATGGGCCGGTCAAAATAAACCTTTTTTAATAAGATTTTTCTCATCTGGTTTTGGTAACAGTTTAGGAAAAGTCACGCGCCGCCACTGAGTGCCACCATGTCACCACCACCATACAGGAGTACGACAATATGCACTTCATTTATGGGGAATGTAGATGCGTTACCAGTGCTGCAGATAGGCTTTATCGTGGAGGTACCCAAGTGTCGCTCGTCATCCCGATCACTGAGTTTTTGTGAATGTGTGTTACTCCCAGAGTGACGACAAGCAGTCGGTCAAATAAAATCAAGCACGGGAGTGCCCAAAAGTACAGCCGACCGAATCTTGCGAAAGAGGGAGCTCCACCCGTACCACGTTCAGCGAGTACAGTCTCTACACGCCCGGAATTATCTTCCAAGCGTTGAGTTTTGTCAAACAATGTTACGTGGACACCGGGAAGATTCGCGATTTTTAAAGAAAATCTTATGGACTGATGAGTTGACATTTAAAAAAATGGATACACGAATCTACACAACTTACACGAGTCGCATGAAGAAAATCCACATTTGATGAGACAAAATAGATCATAGTATCGTTTTAAAGTAAAAATGAGGACCAGGATTCTAATTGGAAGAATCATTGTACCCTTTGAGCTGCCAGAGTTCTTGAATGGCGAAATTTATTTAAACTTTTTACAAGATCATTTACCAAAGTTATTGGAAGACGCGCCACTAAGAATTTACAGAGACATGTGGTATCAGCAAGATGGCTGCCTGGCACAATATGGCCACCTAGTTAGAGAATATCTGTATGCGCCATACCCGAGCAGATGGATAGGGCAGTCTAGTACAATTTCGTGGCCAGCCCGCTCACCTGACTTATACCCCTCGATTTTTTCACTGGAAGCGGTGAAAGAAAAGGTTTACTCAAAGACAATAGAAAATTTAGCTGAACTACATGACAGAATAAATAAATCAGCTGAATTTGTTAATAAGGAAGATTCGCCTGTCTGATAACCTGACCATTTTTACGATGTGAAGCTTGCATTGCTGCTGAAGGAAGGCAGTGTGAACATCTATTGTGAATTTAATAAATACAATCAAAAATTAATAAAGTGGCTTTAATACTTGTCTTGGCATCACTATGTAGAATGACACTGTCCATCACTGTCTAAAAAAGTTTGAAGTTTGTAGTAATGGGAACGATCATCACAGGTTTTTCCGATTTTTTTTAAAACCTATAATATGAAAAGTACATGACTTAGATTTATATTTTCCTGATAACTATTATGACTTGGCCTATTCCCATTTCCAGCTTGACATCGACTTCTGGGACAACCTGTATATGCATGATTAGATCAGGTTGAAATTTGACATGTTTGCTGTGTTAGCAACTGTCTGTTGTTGGTCATGGTTACAGAAACAGAAAGCAAACCTGTCCATTTTAACCATCTACTTAGCTATCTACTCAATCTTTAATCTATGAGCACATGGGACCTGTGCCCAGGCCCAGTCTTGATGGAAGATCCTCAATAGCCCACAAATCAAACAAACTTGAAAAAAAATGGCTGAGTACCACCCTCCTGCTCTTCAGCCACAGGTCCTGAGCTTCCTGTGTGCCCAGGGGTCCCCTACCTAGCTTAAGTTGATCCTGTTAGTTACACAAGTTATCTAAGTGTATATCTAAATAGACAAACATAAGGTGAAAAATATAGGAAGGAATATTTAATAGACAGAAAAAGGGCTTTGAATAATAACTCTATTCAAGTTCTACAGGGAATTATCTCAATAGTATTGCAATTTTTTTCAGTAGCCTCTCAAAGTGAGTAAGTGGTTTTGATAAGCTGCTAAAGATTAAAATGGCTCTGGGATGTAGTTCTCTGAAAGACGCATACAAAATAAATTATACAGAATTGTATCATAAATTCACGAATATCTATACACTCAATGCATTGACTATTATAGCAAACAAAACAGTAGTCGCAACACTTTTTTCATTTTTAGTTACCTTTGTTTTACAAATTGCTTTCCATATTTCTTGTATATATTTCAGCATACTTATGCTGGGTTTTATGCATTACCTTGATCTTGATTTTTGAAAAAACAAAACTTACCCTAAAAATGATCTGCACTTTAAGTTAATCACACACCAAAATATTATGTAGCAAGATGTTATATAGTGCAATGTTATAGGTACATATTTAAATTTATACAAACATTTGTGCAGCATTAATACTTGTTAATAAAATATGGAAAACATCCAAAAATACATGCTTACCGTATTAATTGAGAAAAAAAGTAGTCAAATACAAATACTGTCTCAGATCAGTCTTTTTCTAGCTTCAGAACCATGGACGTATAATTGTCGTGGACATTCTTCTGTTCTTATCTAAGCGTTGGCAAATTGTATTCATTCAAATGGTTACAATGTACATTAAACATTATTTCATGATGTATCACTACTGATTTTGCAAAAAGGCATCCAAGAAAAATTCTACATGTTTAGGTTATGCGGGTGTTGTGGACTTTTGTTATGTCAACATGCCCTCGAAATGTCAATGACAGGTGTTGCTGGAGATGGGAGTAATAAAGACAAACCGTGATTATTTCACTGTGAATACGGGATGTTGATAGTTTTTACGTTTCCTGTATGCCTCTAACTGATTTCGATGGTATTTGGGCATCGATCCTCCAGACCCGACGAGCAAGCTATAGACAAAACATTAACCAAGATTAGAGTCTGAAAGGATTTGAACTTCACCAAGGCTTTTGTTGTATAGATATCCGACAGTATTCAATTCCTTTTTAAGCGTATTTTCCAAAACTTTCATTTCGACGAAATACACTCAGGTTTAAAATAAACACAACAAGCAAAATTTTAATCAAATTCGGAACGTCAGCTTTTCCATTTTTAACTAAATTTGATTGATTTTTTCGGCTGGCGGAAAGAATACTCATTGGCTTAAATTTGCATATTTGATTTCTTGATTGTAGTCACGGTTTGACTTGTTGCACCGGGTAGATCGAAATGATGTTTCATTGCCCCAGCTTTGACTCACTGTATGTTGTCACTTCACTTGCCAATCAGACCGCAACGCTTCCCATTATTGAAAACCACATTTTTATTTTCAATATGTACAGTGATTGAAGTTTTAGAGACAAATCATCGTTTTACCACAAATTCCTCTTCTTCCTCTCATAACTTCTAATTCCTGTACTAATTCGAAAAGATTTTCATCAATTCATCTAGAAATCTATTGCCTTTCCGTGTTGGGCTCATTTTCTTATATTGTAATTGCTTCCGTTTATCTACAGTGGCGAAAGAAAACTGAAAACTTTTGACTTAATTTAAGAGCATGCTGTATAATAATTTCACGCTCTACTCCTTTGAAATACAGTGTCAGGGCAATAACTATATCTCCCGTATTATCTAATGTTGGGTTCATGTAAATTCGGGCAAGGAATGTTCTTTTGGAGCAGAAATTATTGAACAGCGTGCGTGAAATTATTGTGTTCTAGAATTAAGTCAAAAGTTTCCACTTTCTTCGCCACTGTAGATAAACTGAATCAATAACAATATAATAAAATGTGAGCATACTGAATATAGACAAAATGGATTTATGTACAATTTGGTGAAAAACTGTTGAATCCGTATGACAAAATTAAGAAAGTTATGTAAGGGAGAAGGAAAATTGGTGGTACAATGTTCTTTTGCCGCTAACACTTCAACCACTGTACATATTGACATTAACAGAAAAACAGATTATAGAGATAATGTGGTTCTTAATAATAGAAAGCATTGCGACCTAATTAGCAGCTGGAGTCACACCACGAAGTGACTCAAATTTGGGCAATGAGATATCATTTTGATTTACCCTGCACAATAAGTCAAACCGTAGCTAACGAGTATACCTGCTATCTGCCGAAAGAATTAATAAAATAGAATTGGAAATAAAAAAGTTTTGACGTTACAAATTTGAACAACATTGTGCTGGTTGTGTTTATTTTGAACCTGAGTGTAGTAATGTTGCTTCCAGAAGCTTATTCTGATTACTTTTTTGACCTTTATCTATCAGCGAGGAGTAAAGCTAGCTCTCCAAGGCACAAATGTAAAATTTATGGACGTCGTAAGTTTCAACGTAACATAATTAGGGTTCGACCGAAGCTTCTAGTTCCGCTTCGACCACATTCATTATTTTCACACAAGAGAAACACGGTTCCCTTTAGACGTCGAAGTATTATTTCCCGCATTTTAGATCGATGAACAATATAGATGCAATATTAATAGTCGAAGATTGCCTAACAGTTAACCGCGGTATGTTACGGCAATAGTTTTGGGTGTTTTTTCAGCGTTCTCGGTGAGCGCTAGCATTTTCGGAACAAGGGGCGGAGGTGACGTATCTGGTACGTTAAAAAATATGACAGATAACCTCGAGCTCGTTTGTCGCTTTGAGAGGCTGAATGTGCTTTGGGAGCGGAAATGATCACCCGGCTATCCTGGGATTTTCTGGTCTTCCGCGGTCTGATCTCAAAATTGTAATAAACAGAAATTTTGGAAGCGTGTTAGAGCAAAAAGTAGGAATACTAGAATACCGGGAATGATGACAATAGGTTTCAAATCAGTAGATAATCCACAAGAAATTGTAAATGAATTTGCTGTTTCTCTACTGTTTACCAGCATTCTAATGTAAGTAATCTCGAAAAACTTTCTAACAGTCTGATATATTTTCAGAAAATAAACGAGGATGACATAATTAGAGTGTCTAGGAAACTAAATAATAAGTTAACATCAGGTGTTGATCTTATCCCGGGCTTTGTTGTTAAGGACTGTATAGATGTATTAGCCGGACCACTTTCTAACATCTTTAACATCATCCTAAATATCAAAACGTTCTCGAGTCTTTGGAAAATATCAAAAATATGTGCAATTCCTAATGCCGGCGATAATACCCAAATTGACAATTACCGTGCTACATCTATAATATGTAACTTCAGCGAACACTTTTAAATTATCTTGTACTTTACAATCTATACTCCTCTCAGAAGCGCAACAATATATCAGTATGGTTTTATGACCAAAAGATCAACTATTAGTAACTTAGCTGGCATAACACAATTTATCTCCGAAATATTGGACTGTTAAGGCCAAGACGATGGATATACATATACGCAAACCATTTGACCACTACTTACTTTTATCAAAATTACGATCAGTCGGACTATCCGAAGTTTAGTGTCGCTGATGCAGTCTTATCTTATAGACAGGACATAAATTGTCGGGTATGGGAATTACCCAATGCCCGTTACTCCTAATTTAGGAATCAAATCTACGACCTCCATTATTCACAACATATATTAATGACCTTGCACTGCAGATATCTAAATGTAAGCTATTTTCGCAGATGATTTGATCATACTCAGTGAAATTGAAAATTACAGTGACTGTATCGAATTGCAGCAAGACCTGAATAGGTTGAATATATGGTGCGTCGGCAACAAACTAAATATAAACATAGCAAAATGTAAAATTTTGAGCTAATCCTGTCCTGTTTACTTACTACATTGATAACACCAATCTAGAGAGATACATTCAAAGATCTAGGGGTAATATTTGACAGTAAATTGACGTTCTCTGACCATATAAGTAAAATGGTATCTCCAACAAATACCTAAAATATTGGGCTACTGAGTCAGAAACTGGTCGGGTTTTGCTGATATAAAATAATATACATATATGTTACATCTTTTATTAAGAGCAAATGGAATATTCTGCACTGGTTTGGTCGCCACTTTATGAACATGTAAATTCCGGCTGTTGAAACTGTCCAGCGTAAATACATCCATAAAGAGTTTATGGTATATATCTAGAAGAGGCTTCGCACACAATATGCTACTTCAATTCATATATCTCTTATAGTCTAGTTAATAATAATAATGAACTTGATTGCCCAGATTTGTTATCTAAAATCAATTTTGTGGTGCTAAAGAGATCAGCTCGCTCTAATGCAACTTTTTGCAGCGCTAAGGATAGAACCAACATATCGGACATGTCTCCAAATAAAATGTGAATAATTTGTGTTAATGTTTATGCTTTTATTTACTGTAGTAGTGATTTATTTCATGTTTCAAATGCATTTTGTAAAACGAGCTTTTATACACAAGACCATGGAACTTGATGTTTATTATTGGATGTTCTTGTGATTGGGTGCAAACCTGTTGGAATAATAATTATTACTATTATTATTATTATTAGAAATTAAACACTAACATAAAAACCACATGATAAGTTTCAAGAGTTAGGTGATTCCTTCAACGGCGAATACATTAGATTTAAACGAGATCTCTGTCAATGTATGATTTTCAGCACAGGTGCGAAAAAACGAGAATAATGTATGTATCATTCGTGAAAAAGTGTTTATATATAAGGGTCACCGACCCTATTTAGATTCTGCTATAGAAAAAGTATTTCAGTAAATAACTTTGTCTAATCTACATGTTTGTGGTTTTGCTGCTCATATCCATTGTTTTAAGTAAACAAGTTGCCGCAATAGTATAAAAGAGGAATTACTGGTCTAATAGATACACGTGAATATTTCCATCATATTTTTGGGTGCATTACGGGTTGGTGTCAAATTTTCAAGTGTGTAATAGACAAAAATTTATTCATAAAAATATTACAGTATGGAAAATGATAGCGACTACAAAAAGCTACAATGTAAGTGTATAATGTATGTATGGTGCGTAATTCTTTATTTTACCGAAACACGCTGAAACTAATCATTGCTCAATTTTTCGGTATGAAAATTACGAACACTTTAGATGCTTAAAGTATGTATTTTTTGTAAGACAACGATGAATGTGAATTTAAGTTGAAATCTGGACAATAATGTTATTACCCAGTCAATGACAAAAATACTCAGCCAAGTTGGGCGACATAATACAAACGTACTGTTAAGATTATTGGCAGCGAGATTATATTTTTATTGCTTGTCAAACAGCGAGCGATTATGAAAATCTATAGTATTATAGATTACATACAAGGGGTTGGCTTGCTAGTCTATATACGCTGTATAAAGCACCGTCTAGCCTGGATCCTTTAATCAGATGCAACACCCTTGACACAGGGCCTTGCATGTGGCTTTCCGCTGTTGGAGTTGTAATTCCTAATATCTGAAACCGAAACTTTGCTAGGCTTTCGCAGTGACGCAAGTGTTGCACCGGAATGTCCTCATGCCCTCTACAGAAGCGGCATGTGGCCGTGGCCTCTTCTGCCAGACTCAAGCGACTCATATGTCGATGTAATCGACAGTGTACTGTTAGCAGAACCACATGGCACTTATATGTATTTGTTCACCAATGAATTATATTTTGCCTGACTGGCTGTTTCGCCTTGCTACAGTTAGTTTTTCTTATTCCAATTTCTTATGGATTATTTGATGCGTGCTCTGGACCTATAAGACGATTGGGCGCACACTGTCAGACTAGCTCATCCGTCTTCTCATTTTCTTTGTCCCTTTCGGGACCAGGTACCCAGAGCGATGTTACCCTGTTTAGG